TGGTTGCAGCCATCATTGTTGTTTGGCGGGTCCGGGCTGGGGAGTCGAACCCGCCACCTTAGGTGTATGTGGCTGGCGCCTTAGCCGCTTGAGCCATAGGCTCCGAGCCTATTAAATTTTAACATTATAAAGTTAACAAAATAAAATGCATATCCTGGTGAAACAGCCACATGGCAGCCAAAAACTATATATTCCCTTCCCATTCTCCTGCTGTTCCCTAGCTTGTCGTGCATTCTTTCCAAAAATCGGGGCTTTTTTAAAACGCCACAGGATGCAGGACAAACTGTTAAAAATCGGGACTGTACCACCCAAAGCAGGACTTCTGGTCACCTTACTCTAGAGAAGGGGGGGCTACTTATTTGTTCCAGACAGTTTGGCTCCTACTGAGCTAATTGTCCTTGCCTAGAAGCAAGGGAAGGAGCCAGTCTCCTTCTGATACCTTGCCCAGGAGGGAAGTAGGGAGTTTACATTAGCCTTTTCATTTCCAAATGGAGTTACATTAACCTCTTCATTCCCAAATGGAGTTACATTAACCTTTTCAGCAGCCCGTATATTCCTTTCCCATTCTCCCGCTGTTCCCTAGCTTGTCATGCATTCTTTCCAAAAATCAGGACTTTATTAAAATGTCGCTGGACTCCGGACAAATCGTTGAAAATCAGGACTGTCCCGCCATAAGCGGGCCGTCTAGTCACCTTATTCAACACGTACCTGGCAAGCGCGCATGCTCTTAGTCTCCTACTCTACCAGTAGCCACGCCCTGTTCCCTGCCCCTCCCCTCGGACGTTTCGCGAAGGCTTGCGCCTGCGCACTAAGAGTTCCAAGGTCGACTCCCGAAGCCCTTCGGATGAGAGCGTTTGGCTTCTGGATGAGACCTGTGGGGTGTTCTGCGAGGTTCGGAAGACCCAGCCCAGGGCTAGGCCGGGCAGGCGTGGAGGGCGGGCTCGGACCTGGACCAGGTAACCCGGCTGCGTCGTTCTCCGAGCGACTACATTTCCCAGAGGCCCGCGCGGCGCGAGTCCTGGAGTTGAGTGATGCAGTAGCCGAGGCTACGGCTGAGGACCGGGGAGCGGCTAGGGTGGGCCGACTGCGAGGGATGGGTGTGTGCCTGTGAGGGAAAGCCCGACCGACAGGTGTGGGTGTGGGTGTGTTGGAGACAGAGAGACTCAACCGTGAGTCCAGGATGTGAGGGACCGGTCAGCGTGAAGCTCCATGAGAGGCTGGGGTGTGCGTGAGACTGACAGTCCCGAGTGTGAGACCGGCTGTGCTGGTGTGTGAGAGACTTGGTGTGCTTCTGTGTAAAGACCAGTCGGTGTGAGAGGCCTGACAGAGGCTGACCTGTGAGAGTTTAGAGTGAGACCAGGGGGTGTTGGTGAGTGCTTGAGAGGACAGAATCGAGTATGGGAGAAAGTTGTGTGTGTTTTGATATTGTCAAATATCTATTTGGCCTTCATCCCAGTTTCCAGGCATCCAACTTCTAAAACCCCTGAATTTGATTGATGGCTGCAACCCCTAGGTAAAGTCAGGGTAGGGGCATCTCACTGGAAAGACCAAGGCAAGATTAAAGGGTTAGTACTGTCTGCCCGTCTCCCAATATCCAAGGAGAGTAAAGGAGACAATGATTTTAATTGCTCTGTCATGCCTAAGTAGTGAAACTTCCATAAAGTTTTGGTGAACTTTGGATTAATTTTGGTGATCTTCTAGATAGCTGAATTTGTGGAAGTTCCTGTAGGATGAGCTTCTCTCCACATAACCTTGCCCCATGATCTCTTCATCTGCATCCTTTGTAATATCCTTTAATAATAAGCTGGTAAATGTGTTTCCCTGAATTCTGTGAACTGCACTAGCAAATTGAACCAAAGAAAGGGGGCTGGGGAGCCCTAATTTGTAGCTGATTGGTTACTAAACAACCTGGAGCCTGGGGATTGGCATCAGAAGTGGGGGACATTATTATGGGACTGACCCCTCAACCTGTGGGATCTGATGGGAGTTAGTGTCAGAACTGAATGGCATCAGAGGATGCCCAATTTGCTGTGGAATTGATTGCTTGGTGTGTGTGGGAAGATACTTGAACATCTGGTGTTGAAGTGTTTTGTGTTGTGAAAGTAGATTAGGAGAAACTGAGTTTGTTTTTCCTTTGTGTCATCAGAGTTGTGTATCAAGGACTGGATTGTGAGAATCCAGAAAGTCTGAGACCAGGTTATGTCAGTGTGAGTGCAGTATGCCTGTGTTTTAAAGATGAACAAGTGTGAGTCTCTGAAGAGATTGAGTGGGAAAAATGGTTCATGTGTGAGTGAAAGCTAGAGATTGGTCTGTGAGAGTTCAGTGATTGTGAAAGACCAGGGTAGATTGGTATGTGTGAGAAAGGCCAGTGGGCATGTGATACTGGAATGTGTCTTTGTCTGGTCTGTGAGGGTGAGGATATCCAAGTGTGAGAGAGATCTGTGTGTATGGGAGAAAGCAATTAGACTGTGAGAGATCAGGGTGTTTGTCTTTGTGAGAGTATGAAAAATGGGCATCTGAAAGAGACCATGTTTGTTTGTGTGAGTGGAAGAAAAACAAGTGATGTGGTTGTGTGTGAGACCAAAATAGGTGAAAAAGGAACTATGTGAATCATGATATGTCACCCAAAAATTTTACAAATATAGCATCTGTAAGGGTGTGGAGAGTGCCTGTGTGAGGCAGCACAGAGCCCAGGGGGTATGAGAGAATTAGATTAGGTGTATGTGTGAAGGAGCTTGTGGGTGCTGTTACCCATGGCCTCTCTTAGACCATGGTGTATGTGACTATATATGGTGTGTCTGCTTTAGGGCTGTGATTGTGTCTTCTGTGTGATTAAGAAATATGTGAGGCTTTGTATTAGTGTTTGTGTGTACTCACGTGCTTGTAATTGACTCTGTGTGTGACTGATCTACAAGCAGAGACTACTTGTAAGATCATAGCATTGGATTCTTTTATTATGGAAATTGTGTAAGGAATTGTGTATTGCCAGGATAAGAATCCTGAATTAGATTTCCCTGCCTCCAGTCCAAGAGTTTCAGTAAAAAGCAGGAGCTATGGGACTAGCCTCGAACTAGAAGAGGAGATAACTTCAAATCTGGTGACAAAGGATGGGGGGAACCAAGGGGATGAGAACAGAGGTGAGAGCTAAGGTGACAGAATTGAGAATAAAGTTCCCATTGTTCTAGGGTGCGAGATTGAATACCCTTGGGCACTGGTTGGTAAAGGAGAGTAATCCTGGCCTCTAGTGGCATTTAAGTCAGATTTTTGAACTGTAGACTGTCAAAGCATGAAGCAGATATCCAGGAAGAGAACAAGTCTACCTTTCCCTATAAAATAGAGGAAATAATTACATCGTAAGATTATTAAAAACCAGAGTGAGAATATAATCTATGCAACATACCTATCTTATTTTTATTCATAATAAGACCAAAGTTTGGGAAAGTAGTTTTGGAAAAAGATCAAACGGGGGACTTTAAGCATAAGAAAAGCAGTTGTAAACTATACTCCCTCTGTGTCCATAGATTGTCCATAATCACCCCATTATGTGAGTCTGTGACCAAAGAAAGCTGGGAGGAAGAAGGGGATGATGATTTTTTAGGTTGGTGATTCTGGGAGCATGGTGAAGGTCTCATCTCTATCCTTTTCTTCCTCCAGCCTCGCCCTCCCAGGACACTGGTTTTGTCCAACAGAGACCAGCAAGAGAAGGCAAAAATGACTGTTGAGCTAGTGAAAGCCATGCCCCAGGTTAGTTGATGTTTCCTTGCTCTTCCATAAGAGAGACTCTTGCTGTTTGGAACTTAGTAATGCTTCTTTTCTTTTAAAAGTTCCCTTATTAACAGTTTTGTCCAACAGCCTTGTTCCCAGTTCTTTCAGAGGATACTGTTCTTAACTCTAACTACCTAATGTTGTAGCTGAGTATGATGAGTCATGGGGGCCCCTCTGAGTCCCCTCTTCCCACCTTGTGCACATATTCAATTTAATGTTGACTCTTTTGAAAAGATGTGCTTTCTGTCATATGCAATATATATAGATAGCTCATTACTAGTGAGTTGGGTTCGAAGTTAAATGTGCATCCAGTGCTTCCTATACATTAATGTATCAGGAATTAACCTTTTTGCTGAATCTTTGTCCAAATCTCTAATTACATCCTTAAAATCTTAAAAGATTTTTACATTTTGGACATAAATTTTCAATTTTATTTGTTCACCTGAAAAAATATTGTCATACTTTTTTTTTTGAGACAGAGTATCACTTTATCACCCTCAGTAGAGTAATGTGGTGTCATAGCTCACAGCAATCTCAAGTGATCCTCTTGTCTTAGCCTCCCAAGTAGCCAGGACTACAGGCATCCACCTGCCACAGTGCCCTGCTATTAGAGATGGAGTCTTCCTCTAGTTGAGGCTGGTCTCAAACTCCTGAACTGAGTCAGTCAATCCACCTTCCTCGGCCTCTCAGAGTGCTAGGATTCAGCATGAGTCACTGTGCCCACCCCTACTTTATTTTTGCAAATTTTATAAATTTAAATAGGTGATGTCTATGCATGGTGTGAAATTCAGAAGATGTAAAATTTCACTTTTGCCTCCTAATTGTTCTCTCTTAAGAGATTATTGTCAGCTTATATCTCATTCAGACCTGTGTTATATCTTTGTGTGTATGTATACATTTTT